AAAGCAGCAAAGATCTACTTTCCATCAGATGAGATCCACATCTTCGGAATAGCTAAACATGAATGACTTCTACTCTATTAGCTTCATTACTTATTAACAAGTTCCTCATACCTACCTACCCATACCTACCTACCCTATATACCGTCTATTTCATCTATTCATTTATACCAGATTACTGAAACATGAAGTGACTGTTGCATCCTCTTGACGTTTTCCATAAGTTAGAACATGTTTATTCACTTGCCATTTCAAAGTAATATATGTGGCTGCACATCTCATGTTAGCCATCGTAGTCACGTGAGCAAAAAGTCCATAAAATCACGAAAACAGGACATTTGAAGTTTGGAGGATTTTTACAATATCATAACTATTAAATTTCTATAAATATTATAGCTCATAATAAGCTTGAGATATCAAATAATTATGTTACAATATATTCTTACCATTTTGAGTTCACAATGGCTGCTTTGGAACAATGTTTATGTTCAAAACATGACTCCTTTTCTAACTAGTCATCTATGATTAACTCGTCTCGCTATATCCAAGCACCTAGAAAAACGATCTCCAATGCGATACCAATGTTTTATAAATTAACCTGGTATGCTATCTAACCCTGTAGCCTTATCTGCGTTTATGTTATTAAGTATACGTTTAAGACCTCTTCTTTGGGGAGACCTTTTACAGGGCAAACTTTCAAATTATTTCTTAGTACCTCTAATGTTTAAAATTTTAAAGCTACCTCACCACAGTTATTCTTTGCTTTATTGTTCATATGATAGCCATACTTTTTCGAGTGTGCCATAGTTTGTTACGATTATTGTTGTTCCTTTCAATATTTTCTGTAGAAAAATAGCCTTTTGCCTTCTGCCTATAGCCTAGCAAGGTCTGCGCTCAGCGCTTCGGATCAACACCTCCTTTCGGCAACGCTTCTCTAGTATCCCGTCTCATCTGGATGAAATTTCAGAACGTCTCGCTGTAATTTGTTATTGACATTGTAATGAATATTAATGTAGTAAGTACCACATCGTACCAGTCTAACATATGGGAGGCCATTCCTAGTCTTATATACGGTGATAGATCTCGTCGCCTCGTACAACTCTGTTAGAAATGTAATAAATATGTGCTCACACGCACATCCAATAAGCAGCCTCAACTTTCACACGTTTAACTTTTTTGGCTTGTGTTTTTTAACCCAGGCAAATAAGCAGTCAATAAGCAGCCCCAACTTTCACTTTTAACTTTTTTGGCATGTGGTTTTTAACACAGGCAAATAAACAGCCAATAAGCAGCCCCAACTTTCACACTTAACTTTTTCTATGGTTTGCGTTTTTTAACGCAGGCCTATAAGCAGCCCAACGGCGCAGATGCGTGAACTAGTATAACTATTTTATTTGTTATTGGCTTACGGAATAGTCACCGACTTATTATGCCGAGAATAATTTCGTCATCATTCGGTGAAAACTTGCTAACGATCGAATTCCCGACTCGAGCAAATCATTGCTGTGACGTGTGATTTTACCGACGTCAGCGTCTTCCAACAGCAACGCATTTGCAGAAGAGCATTTTATCTCAGTGAGGCGTCTGGAACCCAGATGTTAATCCGCAGGACGACTTCAACAGGATACGCGCAATTAGTGCGGGAAAATTTATGCATTTTCCTTCGAATTTCTCGTAATTTCGTCCTATCAGAATTGCTATGCAAATTTCAGAGGCCTGTTGATAGCTATATAAAAATCTAAAAGCATTTCCTTTCACTGAATGTTATTATTTCCGTGCCAGCTGGTTGATCCATGTCTATAGCGTATGCGCGACTGTGCGACTGTGCATGCACTGTTGAGGAGTTGGTTTCATATGCTGATTTTTGTTTGTCTAGTGGTCATCAGTGCGTAATATAAAAGTTGTATTTTCGAAGCTATATTATAGCTTCGAAAATACAACTTTAAAGGAATAATAGGTCCATTGATTATGCAATGTTGACGAATGCTAGAGTAACTGGCACCTTGAGTAGTTAATAAGTACGTAACCTTATAGCCTAACGCGTATTAGTTTGTCCAATATCACTGCTGGTTACATTACAAGCAAGACTTGAAATCGGTTGTTGATATTAATTTACGTGCCGTAAATGTCATCCAGGAGTCAAGCGATAAGTCGCCGATGAACGTAAACATTTTGTGCGGGCCCGTATTGTTTTGGACGCCAGATGAAATGGAGGTGTCAGGCGGTGTAACCACGGACACGACTAAACATGGAAATGGAGTAAAAACACGTACTAATCACGGAACGCACATGGACAGGCCTGACAAAAGTTCCTTATCACGAGCGTCCGTGTTTACGAAATCACTGATGATAGCATTGCGTACGGCCGAGCATGCGTACGAAAATGTCCGCGGTGCACTATAATCTATCACAACGGGCCGCATGCGGTTTGAAACTGCATGGAAACTGTAAACAATTAACTCGGTCAACTGATTTCTTGGACTGCGGATTTTCAATCAGACATTTCTTAGTAACCAGCAGTGATATTGGACAAACTAATACGCGTTTGGCTATAAGGTAATGTACTTATTAACTACACAAGGTGCCAGTTACTCTAGCACTCGTCAACATTGCATAATCAATGGACCTATTATTTCTTTAATATTACGCACTGATGACCACTAGACAAGTATATTAAGACACTAGCTGCGGGTACCCGCTGCGCTGGGTAAAATCGTGCTACTAATTCATACTACTAATAATGGGACACAATAGGAACATTGGGTAAGAATCGACAATAACATTGCACACAATATCAATATTTAGAAATCAGTCTAATAAGATAATAAGCATGGGAAAAAACTGTTACATATGACATTTATATGACAGCACAACCCAACTTAGAATCCCTGGGACATAATAGTAATATGGTGTAAATGACAAAAAGTTATATAACAGCATGTACAAATGGGTTGGACTTTTCATTTGAAAGCCTCTTGATAAACAATGTTTTTCGTGTTATTCTCTGGTGCAAATATGTCGAGATTCCTGGCGTATCGAACTGTTGAGCTCCCCACGTACAGCTATCGATTGTGAGATCGTACAACGAATAAAAGAAATTCCATATATAGTATAGATAGAGACAGGCCAGCGAGTGGGGTCTGTGTCGACTGGATATTGTCTAGTGAATGCTTGGCGCGCAACAATGCACATTGAAATTGAGAAATTTTTCTATTGAATCAGAGAATGCATAGCTTTGGAATGGGACAATGCATTCTGAGATCGTAGCATCTCAACTGAAACTCTGAACTCAGAGTGAGTAGTACCTCTGAACGGGGCCTGGTTATGCTCTGTTTTAGTATTTGTTTCGGTTTCGGTTTCACAATACCAGCAGTTGATGAGATCATGAGGTGAGGGCAAGAAATAGTCCTAGGTTTTTCTGTGTGTGGCAGCACTGTACAGTGAGTGCTGACATTGTGTGAAGATTGACGAATTGAGGGGTTTTTCACGGATTTTTCGGNAGAGATTAAATTAGGTGATCTGATTTTTTAAAAAAATTTTCTGAGGGAAGGTCCCCACACGAACTCCCACCGGTTCCATTCGCACCGAGACTGCCGCGCAGTCCTCGCGCACAAGAAGCGGCGCGCAAGCCGCCGCTATCAGTTGCCCTTAACAGAAATCTCAAAGTGCCCTTATACCCACCTGCACCCCACCTCCTAGACAAAAATCCATGCATCCGCCCCTTGGGGAGAGTGACTGCGGCAACTGGCAGGAACACTAGTGTTAGATTAGGGTGGGTCAGGTTTAGGTTCCATATGATCAAAAAACCTAACCCTAACCCTAACCCTAACACTAACAATAAACGCGACCGGTTATCTTGATATACGACAGTGTATAGTACAGAAACGCTAATCATAATGGCGGTAGATAGCCACTAGACGTAGTCACGAACCAACTTTGGTTCATGAAACATGGCCCACCTACGCGTTGGCTGCGCGCGTGCGCGATATTTTTTCCGTACCGGTTAACAGCGTCAGCGCCTCGGGAGCGTATTGGAAATGCTTGCGTCACAGCTCAACAGTCCCCTAAACACTATGTACTCGATACATCACAAATAATTGAAGATATGTGTTTACATGCCTTTCTATCGCAGCAAGACGCCGTTTCTTTGAGGGGCAGTAGTATACGCTGTTTCTATACTTAACGAGACAAAGATGGGCGGCTGGATGGCAGCCGATTCCGAATAACCGCATTGGAAATAAATTCATGATTTGAGATTTAGATGAGCTAAGAACCCTAACCCTAACGCCTAACCTAATCTTGGCTATAACCCTAACCCTAACACCTAACACATGGACTTATACCACTAAACCTAACCATAGACCAATATCATTCCCAAGTACGCGCATAGCGAGCGCTGAAGCGTTAACGGTAGCGGAGAAATAATAATCAGCGCGCGGTGCATGCGTGTAAGGCTACCTCGCGTGCTATTCAGACATCTCAGCGGCAGTCTTATTCGGCCAGGTGGTCCTAATTGGCTACGCGATCGAAACCCGGTTATTTTACTTAGCCTTCTACACGCGGCGTCACTCGCAGTTCGTCCTCATCGCGTCACGACGCGCGGTCATTGCCGTGCTCATGCTACACAAGACGCCCCGTGCACCGCACAGACTGATTGAAATAGCAGCGCGAGGCACATAAAGCGCTCAAGGCTCTCCGCAGATACTGCTGCTCAACTCGACTATAGGGCAGCTGCGTTAGCATCTGAACAAGACCAGACGTCAGCGCCAGTCAGCCGAGTTACCGATCTCAGGCATATCGATTTTAACTTGAGACTTCGATTTTAACTAAACTTAGACCTATGACTACGTGATTAGCTTTATCGGTGTTTTTTTTTCTGAGCCACACGACCTTGAAATCTCAGGGCTTTACAAGAGGTTTAACATATATATATATATATATCTATATATATATATATATATATATCTACGCTCATGTCGTCTTCAGTTAGAGGTGAGAGTAAGAGAAGCGCTGCGCGACACTTGCCCACGCAGGCTAACGGAACGCTGCTGTCGTCGCTCTCCGCCACACGACTGTCGCCTGCCCCCGCCAGCCATCGTCGTAGTCGTCGCTCGCCGTCGCCGTCGCTGAATCGGGAGCGCGACATCAACAATGGCGACACGGAGCGTATGTCGTACAGCGAGGGTCTCTACTGGCTGACGAAGCACATCTCGACGGTGAACTCCGCCGTCATGCTCGTGAAGACCCACCCGCGCGTCGTTCGCGAAAAGCCGCTGGCTTTCTTCAACGAATTTCTCAAGAGCGCCAGGAAGAAAGCGAAGACAGTGCCACCTGTTACGCCGCTATCGGGCACGCGTATGACGGCCAGTAGCAGAGACCAGGTGCTCTTTTCTATTCAGTGGTTTTTTGTTTGCGTTGTATGCATGTATGCTTGCCGGGTATATTGACGGCAGTTGCGTGTTGTAGGCACGTTTTAATGAAACTCCAGACAGGAGGGATTTCATTGTAGATACATTGTTGTCAATTTTTACATTGTCGTTTTATCAATATGTGATGTATATTATATATATGTGATAATTCAGATGCTATCACTAAAATTAACCTAACCTGGGCGTTACCAAACGGTCGCTATATGAATACAGCTCTACTACCTGCATGTAGCAATTTTAACTAGGGTGGTTAAATGTAGGATGTACCTGTTGGCATCCTGCTTCACCTCCTGGTTCCTTGTCGATTTTGCGCAGGATAAAAACGGGAAGCAAATCTAATAACCCTGCCTTTTGTAACAGGGCACACTCTGATTGGTGGAAATGATAGGGAATTGAATCAAAGGTTAATGTTTCCTGACATTTTCCTAATGGTTCCTTCCAGAATACGCCACCAGTGAATTCGTACTTGGTGACGCTTCCATTTGTCCATACCGATCCCTAGTATTCGTAAAAAGTCGTTATACATAAGATTGTCAACGCCTTGCTGGACGTATTGTTGCTGATAATAATTATATGTAGTACGTATCGTAAATGTGACGTTGTCGCTCGTATTATTAAAGCCTACAGCAGAGCTCGCCGGTCTGAGGTCGGTGTATATCTGCGGCTATTCCCCTCCATGTGGATCGGATTTCTTCTGGGAGGTCTGTCGGTCATTACTGCCTCATCGATACCTGCGATGCAGCCCACAGGTAACATCGTTATGACGACCGTCAGGGTTCCGCGGAATGTAGAAGCCATTGTTGCGACATTTCTGTCGAATGTATGTCATTGCTGCCAATGTATTTATTTCACGGTGGCGCATGTCCTATAGAAGTAACGTCATTCAATTTTTTACGGAAAAATGGTTATAGAAATGGGAGCTTGTGCATTGTAATATCTACTATTTTCCTTTATCACTGCCAAGTAGATGATTAAGTGTATCTCAGCGTATGAAGCTACTTTCAACACAATTAACAACCAGTGATATAGCATTTATAATGATAATCATCATTCATACTGGGTTTATCTTTTATCTTGGATGCCGTGGGGCGTTCCCGTACGAATAAGCTAGAGAGATCACTTTCGAGCGGGAATAATCAAGTTAAACTTCTATTCGCAGTGATAGAATGCGTTGATTGTGATATATCAACAGTTCAATAAGTTCCAAATAAAGACAAACCATCTCAAGTGAACTTCAAAATTGCCGGATCGCATATTTCACAAGCCTGTGTGTGCCGGCGTAATTCTGGCCAGCGAGTGCGCAACTGCGCGTTTTTTACGTTTTGCTACTAAACTCATTTACCACAATGGAGATTGATCCAAGAGGCGAGCGTGTTGCGTAGTGCGTCCCTAATAGGGCTATCGAGTCGTGGAGAGTGCTGTGTATAAGGTGAAGGTGAAGGGAAAAGGCAAAGGCAAATGAAGAGAAAATTAACACGCTCTTTTAGTGTAGGCTTTGGCTACGTATCTACATTTTCATCTAGATTTCAATTGTTTGTTAATCTTTGACTCTAGAATCGTTTACGAATCCAACGTACGTTGGCTTGACGATTACCGACGGGAGTGAACATAGGTGGAAATAACATTTGTCTTGGTCAGTGAGCTAGGTCAGTTGTGGTTCAATAATTTGCAGCTGACTATTCGATTCCGACTCGGTTAGGCTGCTGGTAATCGCGTCTTTTTCAGGTGCACTGGAAAGGCGATAAATTGGATTCAGACTCAGCTGCTAGTATCGTACTTCTAATAGCGAATCAGCAGGATCAAAGAAATGGCTCATGACCTGGCTATCGAATTACATCACGCGCTCGGGGATAGCAAGCTTTTAGACGGCAATTACTACATAGAGAGTATTCACTTGACACACCGAGCCTATATCCATTATCCATTACAACCATTTGTAATGCATATCAGTGCTAGGCAACGCGCATCAAAATAACATACACACTGGAACTGGTTTTTATTTTTACAGGCTTAATAATGTTTGTGAGATAGCTGGAATTCAGGAACAATGAATGCGCTAAACGAACAGCCACGGATTACGCACCCGCGCATGGCTCATGTTTTTCGGCTTGATTGTCTTTTGGATTTTTTGACCAACTTTATTCAGAGTCGGTGTTTTTGCTGCCCTTGTTTCCTTTTAATTACTGGCTTTGTGGTCCATGGTATATAGTTGACTGTGTTTACGATGGTATTGATCTTACCTTGAAGCTAGACTCTCGCAGTTTCTATCGACGTTGAATGGCGTTCGCATGATTTTGGAACGTTTTTTAATTTTTGTTTGGTGGTTGTTCCACGTAGTTGGTGGTGAGTGGCGTTGTTAGTGTTAGTGTGGTATTTGTTAGTGATTTCTCCTGAATATGTAAGCCTACACAGCATATACAGTTCTATATAAAATATTTATTGTAGGGTGGATATAGAGTACATTTTCTTGCCGACGTGTTCTTGGGTTTTCATGTCAGCTTGCGCCCGACAGTATTTCCATCAGTTTCACTTAACTATCGCTGTTATATATCGGCAACACTAATTATATATATGAAAGCAACACGAGTGAATAATAATTATATAATCTATAATTGATGAATAACCACAGACTTTACCTGTAGTGCTTCTCGATGTATGAATCAGACACCTCCGCTACATATACGTCAAGAGTGTGTGCGTGCGTATGTGCGTGCGTGCGTGCGTGCGTACGAGCGAGCGAGCGTGCGTGCGACCGAGAGGGCATGGGTATGTACGTCGTCTGTTCGGACGTTCATTCGTCTATCCGTTTGTCCGTCCGTTCGTCCGCCGGTCTGTCCGTCCGTCCGTTCGTCCGTCTGTCTATCTATCTGCTCATCTCCTGCTCGTGTCTTCTCTCTCATTTCATTTCTTGCATCGCTATGCGACGGCTCGCAGGTGACGGCGCCGAGAGACATCGATGAGTTTGAGCGCGTGCTTCATGGCGAGCTACGACACCTTCAGCAGGCGCGCGTCTTTCTGCTGCTGCTCTCCGAACACACGCTCGCCAACGGCCTGTGCACGGCCCTAGTCCAGCTCGCCGTGCACATGCGGAGGCCGATCAGGGGCGTGCGGGCAGCTGCGTTCTCCCGACTCGACATGCCGCTGCCGCTACCGATCGACGTCAAGGAGTTTCTGCTGAGCTGTGCGCCGTCTGGCGGAGGGGAGATGGTGTGGGAGTCTGCCGCTGCAGAGGACGCGGCGCCGCGGGCGCAGAAGAGCGACGGTGGCGCCGCCGAGCAGCCTACGAGCAGCATGCGCGACATGATACGTTGCGTGCATGAAGCGGCGGTCGTATACGATGCGCAGGACTCCACGCGCAGCGTCGCCGAATTGCTACGTCATCTCGCCGACGCCGATGATGATAACCGTCCGTCGACAAACTCCCGTTTCGCTTGGCCAACAGATGACGCCAGTGGTACGTCGTATCTTGGGCCGAAAATTGGGGTTAATTATGACGAAAGTATGGTTTTACGCACGCCCAGTCCGAGTCCGCGAAAGACCAACTACATCGTGTTTGGTTCCAAGGAGAGAGGAGAAGCAGGGCCTATTATCGTTACGTTTCCCAACGACGACCGTGAAATGTCGATCGAATCAAATTCATCTGGATGCACCCCGCCGCAAAACATGGCGAATGACATCTATGACGGTCCACTAGAGTATCACTCCGACAACTCTCTGAGTCCTGTTTAATTATTTGTAGATACAGTGTACAAATAATAACCGTGCTTACAATGGTATTTCGTTGCCCTTGAAATAGATTTACTGTGCATGTAGTTATGAAGGTGGACTACCTACAGGCAGGCAGGCAGGTAGACGGACGGACGGACGGACGGACAAGCAGACAGACAGACGTACAGGCATTAAAACATACATATAACTTCCAATACCATGGGCACGGCATATATATATATATATATATAGGTATTGTGGACGCCGGTATTTTCGAATTTATAAATATCTAACCCTGCTTGTTTCTGAATGCAAGTGTTCTCGTAATATATTGCATGTTAACCGCAATGTAATAAAAATAACAATATTAATAATAATAATAATATTATTATTAATAATAATGCGTAAGAATTTGAAGATACGTATGGTCCTATATATCTAAGTTGTATGTTATCGTGGTAAACTATCTTAAACAAACAAGAGTTGGATAGATCGTTCGATGTAGCATATAATTATTATGTGTTATTTGTGAGTTCATGTTATATATATTCATCCATATTTCGGGAATTCATATCTTCTCAAACGAAATATTATTAAAACGGTTACAAATGTATCTTTGTATATGTGTGTATATATATGTGTGTGTGTTGTATATATAATTGTGCAATAACTGTATAATATATTATATATAGGCCTAATTGTCCGATATAATCAATAATCCCTAATTAAATATTTCTGTTACGTCATGAGATCGGTTTCCCGACGCCATTTTATAGTTTTGTTTCTGCGTTTCATAATTTTCTGAGACGTTCTAGTTAGTGTCTGCATGCAGATAACGAATACTACTAACTTGGCACACGTTACGTATAGAGTCTTACATTCATCCTGATGGTTCGTGCGCTGTATTTACATGTGGTCTAAGTTAAATCTTCGTTCAGCTGTTTATGTCAATCACGAAGATCTAAATATATGTAGACTGTACGAGTGATTTGCTGTGTAAAAATTTCGGTTCCGACGTTTCCGTATAAATATCGGCATGGACACATATAAAGGCACATGCTGACACAAACGCATGTGCGAGCGTTAGATTTGGACATTTTTCGGTACGCACATATACCAGACAGTGTGTACCAGTCAGTGTGCGGCGTGCCCATGCGAATGCGTACGCGCTGTAAACTGTGCCTAGATGACAGCATGGGCGACTCTACTGTAAGCGCCTACATACAAGTGTTTACGCACAGAATACGTGTTTACGCATATAAGGAGTCGTTGCATGGCATGACATTATAAAAGGCAGTATGGCATGACATTATAAAAGGCAGTATGGCGCGCCACTAACATGCAACGCGACATCGCGAGAACATATATTGGCAAATATATGTTGCGCTATGTATGCGGTGAGATGTAACAGCCGTCATTTGCTTTCGTCTGATCTTTCGTGCGCCTGAGATGCCGTGTGCGGCTACGTGCAAAAACACGTGTTCCCTAACAATCTCTCCGTATCGCGGTGGACATGAAATGCCCCGACAATTTATTGCGACGTATTTTTGGGCGTTCTCGCTTCATAATGCAAGGGTTCATAATTTTTTCCGTTGTTGAAGCATCTAAGGGTGATTCGAAGTCGAATTAAAGACCATACGTCAGAAAAATTCCACACATTGCCTAAACTGTCAGGTCATTTGATGCGACGTACCGATCAGATCTTTCCCAGAGATCTTTCGCTAATAGCTGCGCTGTCATACAAGGTTGTACCTACTAATATACACATACCCATACGCCCACGCACACGCAACTTATTTCTCTGATTTTCATATTTTATCTGTTCCTTAGCTTATTTTAGCGCTGCACGACCCTGGTGCTGGCGCGACAACGCGACTTTTGTGAAGAGAACCCGCTGACAACGTGTACATAATAACACCACCTATAGCTATCCAGCCAGCATGTGCACCATGCAGCCATCACCTTCGCCCGTCGGCTCCCTGCTCCCTCTCTTTCCCTACTCGATACAGTCGATCACCCAGCCTACGACTCCTAAACGTCAGCCAGTATTACCTTTGAGAGAATCTAAGACAACAGCCGGCAATATGACTCCAAATAACTGGGAGTGCTATCCCTAGACACCTACGACACCAAATGACAAAGTAAATGACAGCCAGAATTACCTATACTCCGATGTAATTTGATTGTCCTGCTCTGGTCTTCACAATTATATTGGCGCGTAAACAAATAGCTAGGGTTGCGTTAATGGCAGTGTCTAATGCAATAATTTGTCTATAATAATGGCAGTACGTGAATGAAAAGGATTTATAGAGCGGCGATGTCAAAACAGGCGCGTGTATAAAGTTTATGGATGCGGGTTTACAGCTAAATTGCTAGTGCATCAGCTTTGTTTTATCACGTAAATGACTATACTGGTTGGCTTGGCTTGGCTTGTTGACAAGGAAATAACAACGCATGCATTTATTCATTAGATGTTATATTGAAAGCTTCACATTTTTGCCATACGAAAAGCCTGCACACACACTTATTTCTGCTCACCAGGTCCATACTATCAGAAATAGTTTTGCATAGATTTAAATAATATATCCAGGGCAGTGAAAAATAACTACACAAACATGTCTCAAGACGCGAAATGTCTTTGAGGTCTTAGACGCCTACGGTCTATTTACAGTGAACGATAACCATGGTAATAATATGAGACAATATCAGCATTAACCGTATCAAGTCCTAAAGAATGAAACATGTATTTCCTTCATGAAGCTCGGAATGGAGTGATACAACACATTCTGTAGATCCCATACATATTCCGGCTGTGCTCATTACAGACATCAGGAAGCTAATGATAATACGAAGCAAGGCGACCAGAGAGTTTAGTGAGCAAATCTTGTCAGTAGAGCGGCAAGGCCAACAAGGAGCGCGTTGGCGACCAACGTCATGGAGCCATCAGAGCTTTCCGTGATTCCCATATCGATGGTAGGATCATACAGCAACCGCTCGCCTCTGAAAAAACATCAGGAGACATTTAGAAGTTAGGAAATCCGTTATAACAAGAGAGAGAATAAAAATTTTTGGAACAACTGGGAGAATTTTGGTTAACGGCTATTTGCATTGTTTTCAACTACGTATACACATGTATTCAAATTTACTGTCCTTGTAAACAAATATATAGATGTCGTGTAACAAACCTGGGAAAACGGAAAGTGAAGCTTTGCTTTCCGCCGGTAGTCACCACCATTGGGTAGTCACTTTCCATTTCCATCCACTCACCATCTTTGGAAACCTGTGGACAAAGTTAGAGCGCCATTAGTTCCAATCCAACTTGTAATAGTATTTACAGCCTAATTTTCCAGGCATATATGGTACCAGGTAGGTGTGAGGTAGCGTCGAGATATTCGAACAAGAATTTATGTAAAAAGTACTGTCGCTTGCAAAATTGCGATTGTGCTGCCAAGTAATTTGCGCTTCCAAAATGCTCACGACGAGCCTAGCCGGACGAGAGTTCGTAAAAACATTGCGTAGTGAACGTTATGTTGGTTATACGAACAAGCGTTCATATTTTATTTTTCGACAAATCACCTAGCATCCATCACAATTGTTGACAAGCTCATTACAGTTATGTGTGCCAAGCGCACGTTAAAGGTCAAATTAATGTTCTCGCAAGAAAATTAGCGAGTACTGCATGTAACAAAAACACATTAGCTCGTGTTTTGCTTCAAGTTGTTATGTCTGCGCTTACCTCTCCAGCAAATCACGACCATGCCCATTTTATGTACATCATTAACGGATAAGCACCCGCTGTACTATTCTCTGTAGCTTTCACTGAAGTGCTCTCGGCCTTGATGGCATGGTGATTTTGATCATACGATATATTTAATTTTGACTCAGAGAAAAGATCTTATGTGTTGCTCAGACCATTTTTCAGCGCAAAATTGTGCAGGATATAATGGCCCACCTGGAATTTTTCAAAGTAAGAGCGCAAAAAGATCAAGAAGTTTGTTAATATCCATCCCGCTTAAGGATTGCTCACTCATACATGTGAAGTACCAACCGTATAGTAGTTGTAACCTTAAAACATTAGGCGGTTTAATTTTAATCCATCATTACCTATACTTGTGCCTTGTATTAAGTTGTTGGTTGGTGGAACTGAGTTGATATTTTGGCGCCTTTACTGTGTCTAGCGATTACGTGATCTTCCGGATATTATTGCACTACAAATTAAAATCCTGACTGACCCTCTGAAAACGAGCCACACTACACACTCCACCCGTGTAAAACATTCTTCAGCCCACATACTCGATCACCTGCCAACTGTGCGGACTGTTTTATGACCGCCTGACTACATAAGTTTGCTAAAACCACGCACCGCTA